GCATCTGATAGTAAGTCTATGCTGTGGCCCATAGAAATCCACATACATCCTAGATTAAGAATAAAAATGCAGATATGTTGTCACCACTGAGGACTAATATGGAATGCCTCCTTTCCAGGGGTATCCAGTTCTCTACACTCACCATACATAACAGAGCAGTATTGAGCTGCTATTTTACACTAGTTTTAGCATTGTTAGACATGTGAGCAACCCAACTCAACATTTTCCTAATATATCAATTTAATTTAAAGATATAATGACCCTATGATAAAGATTTTTGGCCTTAGAAGTCATTGGTAAATCTTACCATCTGATGAAATTCCAGAATCCGAGTCATGTGGTGTTTGTCCATTCTTCAAATTGAAACTGCAAAAGATCAAAATAAGGATGAACATCTCCTTATTTGTCCATGGTTATTACTTAACGGCAAAAAATATTTCTTTTTTGCAACAACTCCAGAGGATATGTTATACCATTGTTCTTCTGAATGATGGTAATGAAGTACAATGTTTAATACTTCAACAGATAAATAATACCATGTATTTTTTTATAGAATATGGGTGACAAGCGAGCACACAGTCCACCTGATGGTAATCTATCCTCATTTGCGAATCAAAATACAGATGTGGTTAATAAGGTTCTCCAGTTCTCTACACTCACCATAAGAAAAACAGCAGCATTAAGCTGCTATTTTACACTGGTATTTTGTGAGAATGTGGTCCTTCCCCAGTCAAGCCAACCCATTCGTACTACAACTATACAATTAATATAGCTGCAGCACGGCTCTACCATGTCTAAATAGATGGGAATATATAGATGGTAAGACCATAGGGCAAGATCTTTTTATTTCCTTTTATAGTATTTTTCTTAGGTTCTTTACATCATTGACATTTCATTAGCATTAAACAATAGTGTTTAATAAAAACTTGTAAAATAGTATTTAAATGATCCATACCTTTCCTCTAAATCAACCTTCTTTTGACTTTCACTGTACTTGTTTAAAGCCGTTGCCAATGCTGAAACAGTAACTTCAGGGTTGCTTTGCTCTGGATCTAGAAGTGATTTTAAGTAGCTGTACTCTGACCTGAAATTTGAAGTGATAGAAGAGTTTCTTTCAATTAGAAAATTCGAAATAAAATTGAAATTATCAATTCTGAATCTAATGTTAGTTTAATAATTTTAAATCTCATTCTAAAAAATGTTAATTTTCATTATATTTGCTTGATGAAGTATGACAGTAGTATACATAAATGAGTAGCAAAGCAATAGTTTCAAACCGTCGCACAGGTAGTCACAGGGCTCCACTGATTTGTGCACTGTAAATGCGATTATATATACTTTTTTGCTTGAAAATTAAACGATATAAAATTAAGTAAGCTTACTTATTTGTTTTAATAAAAGGCGCAAATTTTTCCATTAACGCATCAACTTGTAAAGTCGCTGTACTATCAACACCACAATAGTCAAAAATCTGTACGGCTGTGACAAAATATTCTGTAAAGACAAAAATAAATTATATTTTAAACGAGGAACTTTACCAACGCAGTGTTTTAATTATAAAAGTTTAAATTTGTCCTTTACTCACCGTCCGTGCTCGAGTCTTCATTTAAATCCATTTTTGTAGTCTTTTTAAATACAATACGTCCAGGAAGTTAATAATTACTACAAAAATTTATATAACACGTGCACGTTTTTCGATTCGATTGTTTATTTTCATTAACCTAATTAAAATTCGTTACGCTACAGCGAAATACGAAAATAGTTTGTTTTAAAACGGCGGTTCAACCATAGATTACTGTATAATATACTAGAGATGGGTTCAACCAAAGAGTATATTCACTATCAACCAAAATTAAGTTCATAGAGATATAAATCTTTATATATAAAAATTACGTGTCACATTGTTTGTCTGCGATGAACTCCTATTCAATGAAATTTTGCACACTGTGTGCAGTTTGGTCCAACTTGAGAGATTGGATTGTTTTTATCCCGATAATTAGCGACCCTCAAAATTTTTTATTGCGAATTTTAGGATTTTTATACGAAGGGTCGTTGGAAAGGGCAGAACAACGTCTGCCTGGGGAGCTAGTATACCTATATACTTCTAAGTCAGTGGTTATTGGTTAATGAGGGCTAATAATTTTCTGCTCACCAGAAAAGTTTATCAGTTTCAAGAGTATTATATTAATACACAAAACAACGCTACAGTGGTTTGCTTTTTAATTTTTTTGCACATTTTTATCTTCTTTTTTTAATTTTTCTAGTTTATGAATATCTGTGGTATGGTTTATTTATTTTTAATGTTATTAATATAAAATATAGTTAATAGTACAGAAAGAAACAATAACGTTTACATTTTTCGAACAAATTAACTTCCCCGCTATGAAATCTGTCAAATATTATACCTCACTTTCTAGTGGCGCCGCCCTGGTGACAGAAAAAGTCGTAGATGCCCTTATTGATTAAGTTTAACCACAAAGTACATATCATAGGACAGGAACATTCAGGGTGGAAAAAAAGAAACGGAACATGGAGGCTAAATAAATTTAATATTGAAGATTTCACTCAAAGGTAACATTCCTTGGTTTTACAAAATAAGAATTATGAACCACATTCTAACATTATTCAAAAAGCTTACTTGAGCTTGGAATCGAACCAACTAAAAATACAAAAAATAGACTGTCGCTATTTTGTTGAACCAATCGATAGGGTCTATGATAAGGATAAGATCTCTCGAATAAATTTGGTATCTTACTATTACAGCACGGCTAGCATGGGCTGGGGACAAAAAAATACCCCGGTTATATCCACTGATAAGAGATAAAATAATCTTGTCGTTATGTCAAAGCATGGCAACGGGGAGAAGTATATCCCCGTTTGACATAACGAGTAGACATATATCCCCCGTCCGTAGCATGGAGCCAAATAAAACATAAAAAATATACTTTGTTGACATTTGAAAGGGACAATTTTATCCTAGTTCATTGGACGTGGGTTTAAGTTTATATTCAGACAAAAAATCTATCTAAGTCATAAGGTCACACACACACGCATACGTAACGTGTTTTATTCCGGACGGAGCGGGAGGCGAAATTTTGGAAATATCGTTTTATAGAAAATGTACGTGAAAATGCATACATTACGGATGCACGGACGGGACGGGTCTATCTCATATTTTATCTACTGTGGACAATATATCCACCGGTGTGCCCATGCTCGAAGGATGGATAAAACTAAGCGAGGGGATAAACATTTTCTCCTTTCCCCGGGGATAAAGTTATCTCATGCCCATATTAGCCCTGCAGAAGTACTTGAAATCTCACAATTCTTACATATTGACTCGAACTTACATCCAAATGTTTATTTTTCAACCGATTTCAAAAAAGAAAGAGGTTCTCAATTCAACTGTATTTTTATGTGTGTTACCTTAGAACTTTTTTCTAGATGAACCGATTTTGATGATTCTTTGTTTTATTTAAAGCTAGTGCTTCTCATGTGGTCCCATATAAATTTGATCAAGATCTGACCAGTAGTTTTTGGTTATCCCTAATTCCCTAAGTCATTGAGTACCGAAACAAACTTTGGTCTGAAGTCGAGTCATTGTTAAATAAAGTCTCGAAATGGGAACGACTAAATCTAGTCCAGTTTAACCCTCAGAAGACACAGATTTGCGCCTTCACCGCTAAAAAGAACCTCTTTATCGTATCTCTTCAATCTCAGGTCACTCCTCTTGCTGCCTCAGCTAGTATCGGAATCTCGGCGTCGAACATATCGAATGTTGTGCAGTTTCGTGGTCACTTGGAAGGGAAGGCTAAATTGGCCTCTAAAAAGCTTGGCGTGCTCAGCAGATGCTCAATATTTCATGCCGTCCAACGCTTGCAACTTTACAAGGCGCAAGTTCGGCCTCACATGGAATACTGTTCTCATCTCTGGGCCAGGACACCCCAATGCCAGCTTCTTCCCCTTGACCGCATTCAGCGCAGAGCGACTTGAATAGTAGACGACCGAGTTCTTTCTGATCAGCTCGATTCACTGGCGCTGCGTAGGGACGTTGCATCCCTTTGCATTTTCTATCGCATCTACCACGGGAACTGCTCTGAGGAATTGTTCGGATTAATTCCAGCCACCAAATTTCACGAACGCACATCGCGACAAAACTCACGATAACATCCACACTATGTTTGGCGGTCCACCACTGTGCGTTTTACTAGGAGTTTTCTTACTCGCACAACCTCTTTTTTGTGTTTGAATCGATTACCACCGGCGATTTTTCCACATCGATACGACTTAGGGACCTCCAAGAAAAGAGCTAGCCGGCAACGCACCTGCAATTCCCCTGGTGTTGCAGTTGTTCACGGGGAGTGCTAGTCACTTACCATCAGGTGAGCCGCATGCTCGTTTGCCGCCTGTGCTGTAAAAAAACCATAAACCATCACAAGCATGTTTGGTATGAAATCAGGAGATGCCACACCAAACACTAAATGAAAATTAACAATTTTAACTTAACAGTAGATATGTAGAAAGCTAAGAAAACATAGTATAATACAGAAGACCTAATACGAGTTACCATTTCTCGCTTGTTGCTCAGTGCGTCTCTCTCGTTCTAAATCTTATTTATCTATGTTCTACATTAGTAAGTGAGAGATACAACAAGTGACAAAATGATATTATGTTGAATGTACGATTACTCATACTCACTCTGACGAGACGATTTCGTAAAAGTTAATCCCTACGCTGAATTTATTTTTCTTTATATTGACAGAGAGAGAGTTATTAAAATTAAATTAAGTGGTGAAGTTAAACTGGCGCGTGTGGCGCCCTGTAAGCCGGCCCCCTGGGTTGCTCTCCCCTAAAGCCGGCACTGGCTCTCGTAAATCGTGAAATAAAAAAAGTACACATTTATAGATATTACAAATATATTTTCAAAGCTTCTTAAATATTCAATTCTTGATAGTTCTAACAAGTTAATACATAATCCAAAATTATATTCTTTACAAATATTAACGTATTCTTATAATGTTTAATATTTCTGTCAAACCACTCCGCACTCTTAACACAGCCAACTTTGTTTCTATCATTGTGAAGTCGGTTAACTCCATCTGTAAAATAATAAATTGTATATTGTTAGGTAGGTACATATAATATATAAGACATACTATGTAAAAATACTTTAAAAATTGTAGCTGCAAATAAAGAGTATGTGTTTTTGTAAATCAGTCGTAGTTAGAGACTACTTCCTAGTTTGGATAAATAGTAGGACCTCGGGGCCGTGTTAAGGAAAAAACTGAACAATTAAATTCTCTAATTTTTGTAGGACGTCGTTTCAGCCACGCAACTAGATTTAGTCTAGTGAGCAGTGCGGCTGCAACTAGTTTTATTATATCGTACACCTAGATCTAAAGAGAGCTAACTCAAAAATTTTAATTTTTGACTTATGCATACCATCGAATTCCTTAAGTCCTTAAGTTACTAACCAATAAAACAGATTCAAAAATAGTTCTACAACTCAAAGCTAGGTGACGGTAGAAGTCCCTTTAGTTGAACGAGCAAGGCCCACTCCTTTCCCATCAAAACAGGGGTATCGCTAGTTTCAGTCAAAGCAGTCAATATTAAAAGCGGAACTCACGTGCCCTTCATAAACAAATTAGAGTTATTTTGATTTAAATCCGTATTGTTCAGTTAAATCAGGAAACTATATTAAGATTATTTTGAGTTGTCACCGTTTTGATAGTGAGTGCTGAGTAACTTAAAGCTACATTTTAAGTTGAACCAGTGTTGTTAGTAAAGTGAGCAAAGTTTTTGTTTACATTTAGAATTGTTACTTTGTTATTGAAAAATGTTTGTATTTGTACGAGTAGTTGACTCTGTTTTGTAGAGTAATTTTTTAAACTCTTATATTTCTTTAAAAAAACAAATTAAATTATAATTCTTAAATAAAAAATTAAAAATCTATTTATTTTTTTCTCAAGGCATACTAAATAATAAAGTAATGGGAGCCTCCTAGTAAGTATAAAAGAATATAAATGTAATGTAATAAAATATAAAAGTATATAAAAGTATGAAATTTAACTTTTTTATTAGTGGTGAATAAGTCTTTTCATCTTAATATATATATTATTTTCATACTGGCAATTACACAGTTGTTGTGTTTTTGTTGAACAGTTTTTAAGTTAGAGCTGTTTAGATGGGCTACAGTACACCGCATCAAGTTCATGAGATCGAAGCGTTAAATCGATTGCTTATTAAATCGATGTGGCGTACTGGACCTGATGATTAGTGAAATTTACATTTTCCATTTCAGAAAAATAATTTATCGTGAACGGTTTTTAGTAAATATGGTTAAAAAGAGGGGCAAATAAAACATTAGCCCCAGCTTACTGGATCAATATGAAAATATGCAACCTTAAACTAGACCTTTGGAAGAGGAGTTTGAACAAATAATACAGAAGAAGACTATACTAGTAAATAGTAAACAGGTCGCTAGCTAGAAGATGACCTCAAGATTAAGCAATGAAGACTCCTACAAGTAAAATCATTGCGCCTTATTCGTGGTCGATAATCTACTTCGATTACGTCTAAACAACAGCAGAATGTTTTTTTATAGGATAAGGGTGAGCACTAAGATGGAATGCCTCCTTTCCAGTAAAAAGGGTCTCCGGTTCTCTACACTCACGAAACGAAACACAGAAGTGTTAAGCTGCTCTTTTACGCTGGTATTCTGTGAGAGCGTGGTCCTTCCCCGGACAAACCGACCAATTCGTGCTAAAAGTATAATATAGCTGCAGCATGGCTCTACCACGTTAAAAGGGTCATTCTACGAACATGAGAAATTTATGTTCGCGTAATGTAACTTCATGAATACGACTTCCTGATTCGTTATTTGCTGTGATATTAAATGGGACATCACCATCTATATTTGACATTCATTATTTTGTAGATAAGTGATGATTTAATGAATAAAAACGTGTCGGCAATACGTGACGTGTCATGTATATAATGTACTCTGTGGTGTCATGGTCTGTCGACTGTTCGCCAACGCCCTCTGAAGGTTTAACGGCTACTTAAAAATAGAAATTCTTAAGCTAATAGCTAAACTTATAATTTTTGAAACGATACCTGTCCTTAACATTAAGATTAAAAGACTTTAAAAAATTATGTCACACAATTATAAAAAATATTGATGTTTCTACAAGCGTTATAAATTTTTTGTCACAACTGTCGACATGTAAAATTTTGAATACTAGAATCAGAAAGCTTATTTCAAAGCTCATTTCAACGTTGTTTTGCTTTTTATGGAAAAATTAGTGCATATTTGTCAGTGATAAGTCACATTTTTTGAAGGAACAAAAGCGAGTTGCCGAAAATTTTAAATTGAAATGAGGTTCTACAAGTGTGTCAAAGTTGAAGAGTCACTTCTTAGAGGAAAAAATAAAAGGTTACTAACATGATAAAATAAATCGCCACACACAGCCTTGTAGAAAAAAGGTTTCACGTATTTCCGACACAACAATGGATATTATTACCTCTAAATAGTAGGGTTCCAGAAGCGGCCCCACAGGAAGTGGACCTGGTCGAGCCCCGACGGTGCGACAAAAATGAGATTGACTTCATTATGACGACCAGACAACAACTGTTCAGTGATGTCTCCGTGATCGCGAGGGTGAAAACTGGTAGCGATCACCGAATGGTTAGAGGCACACTGAACCTAAACGTTAAGTTGGAGAGGTCTCGTCTAATGAAGTCAACGCTCCGTCCCCCTCGTGCTCTAATCCAAAGTCCCGAAACCTTTCAGCTCGAGTTACAAAACTGTTTTCAGTGCCTAGAAGACTGCAATGAAGTGGACGATATGAATGACAAGCTCGTGGAAACTGTCCATGCGATCGGAGCTAAGTTCTGCAAGACCCGCCGCAGAAGAACACAAAAACTCTCCGATCACACTCTTAATCTCATGGCTGTTAGACGGGAGATGAAGCTACATTCTTCAACAGACTTGACAGCATACAGGCATCTGAACAGACAGATCTCCAAATGCATGCGGCGGGACTTACGCAACTTCAATACAGCTCGTATTGAAGAAGCGATCGAGCGGAACCAAGGCTCCAAAGTCTTTGCCAGAGATCTGTCTGCCAGAAAGAGCCAACTGTCAAAGCTGAAGACAGAATGTGGCAGCATCGTTTCCGGGACACCTGAGATTTTGAGTGAGATTGAGAGGTTCTATGGGCAGTTGTACACGACATCGTTGGAGCCACACGCAAGTGTGAGTAACGATCCAAGAGCGAGTCTCATCCGACACTATTCCGAAGATATCCCGGACGTCAGTCTGAGCGAGATTAGAATGGCTCTCCAGCACCTTAAAAACGGTAAGGCCCCAGGCGAGGATGGAATTACAGCGGAGCTTCTGAAAGCGGGTGGAAAACCGGTACTTGAAGTCCTTCAGAAGCTCTTTAATTCCGTCCTCCATGGTGGCATTACACCGGAGGCATGGAGCAGAAGTGCGGTGGTCTTGTTCTTCAAGAAAGGTGACAACGCTCTCTTGAAGAACTACAGACCGATTTCCCTTCTGAGCCGCGTCTACGTGCTGTTTTCGAGAGTCATACGAATCGTCTCGCGCGCAGACTTGACGACTTCCAGCCTCCCGAACAAGCCGGTTTCCGAAAGGGCTTTAGCACCATAGACCACATACATACCCTTCGGCAAATTGTACAGAAGTCCGAAGAGTACAATTTGCCACTATGTCTGGCGTATGTGGACTATGAGAAAGCCTTTGATTCCGTCGAAATTTGGGCGGTGCTGCAGTCCCTTCAGCGGTGCCAAGTTGATTGTCGGTATATCGAAGTGTTGAAGTGCTTGTACAGTAGGGCTACGATGGCTATCCGAGTACAGAACCAGAGTACGAAACCTATCCAATTGCAGAGAGGTGTAAGACAGGGTGACGTCATATCCCCGAAACTCTTCACCGCTGCATTGGAAGACGTTTTCAAGCTTCTGGACTGGAAAGGATACGGTATCAACATCAATGGCGAGTACATCACTCACCTTCGATTTGCCGACGATATAGTCCTTATGGCAGAATCGCTGGAGGACCTAAGCACTATGCTCAATGACCTCAATAGTGTTTCCCAACGGATAGGTCTTAATATGAACATGGACAAAACTAAGATCATGTTTAATGTCCATGTCACACCTATGCCGGTAGTTGTTGGGAACACTAAGCTCGAAGTTGTTGACGAGTATGTTTACCTGGGACAAATAGTCCGACTAGGTAAGTCCAACTTCGACCGAGAGGTCAATCGACGGATTCAACTCGGTTGGGCAGCGTTCGGGAAATTACGGCACATCTTCTCGTCAGGTATACCTCAAACCTTGAAACCGAGACTGTACACCCAGTGCGTGTTGCCAGTGATGACATACGGAACTGAGACGTGGTCCTTCACTGCTGGCCGGATGAGGAAGCTCAAGGTCGCTCAGCGAGCTATGGAGAGGGCTATGCTCGGAGTTTCTCTGCGTGATAAACTTAGGAATGAGGATATCTGCAGTAGAACCAGAGTAACCGACATAGCCCAACGGATTAGTAAGCTGAAGTGGCAATGGGCCGGCCATATAGCTCGAAGAACCGACAACCGATGGGGAAGAAAGGTTCTCGAGTGGCAGCCTCGTACCGGTAGGCGAAGTGTAGGGCGTCCCCCCACGAGATGGAGTGACGACCTGGTAAGACATGCAGGAAGTCGATGGATGCAGGTGGCTCAGGACCGTGCTTTGTGGCATTCTTTGGGGGAGGCCTATGTTCAGCAGTGGACTTGTGAAGAGCTGTAATGATGATGATGATGATGATGAAATAGTAGGGTAGATTAAAATTTGTCACTTCAGTCGAAGTCAATTCTGTCGACAGAAATGACGACTCTCGACCGAAGTAACTACCGCCTATGTTTATTATGCATTAATCAGTTAACGAACGCTTGTCAGGGCAAATCAAGTATTACATTAAAAATAATAAGAAATTCAAAGCCGATTTTGTTCGTTATCTCCATGGTTGTCTCCACCAAGTGTGGCGCGTAATTTGAGAAAAAAGGCGTGTTTAATATTTTGTGTTGAAGTATAAAACTCGTAAAAATAACTATCTAATTCGTATATTATTCTTTTAATTAAAATTCTACCAAATTTAAGCGTTGATAGGATATATTAATGTATTGTTATTTATATTTAATTTTATTATATAAAGTTACGACAAAATTTAGTTATAGGTCAAGGATCTAACATAAATTCTATCAAACTTTAAAATACTACTAAATCACATTTTGACTGAGTAATCACGAAATCTTCAAAACTATAGTTACTACTACCACTACACAATAGGTGGATAAAAGGATGTTGACAGACAAAGAGAAGAAGGATCGGCGTAGGCAACAATACTATAGTAGGTTAGTTCGGAAAACTACAAAAATAGGAAAGAGTAGGGATTAGTAAAATATATAAAGGTATGAATAATCTGACTCCAAAAATACAAAAACGAGTACGAAAAGAACGGCAAGAATGTACTCGAAAACACCATGAAAAGAAAAGGAACTCAGAGAAACTGACATTAGACTTACAAATGAAACACCGCCTTTATAACCAGTACGGCAAAGCTCCAGATCTTTACGAAATATCATGGGCTAGCAGAAAGAAAAATCGAAGGAAAATAAGAGCTGAAGAGAAATATTTAAGAGAGAGGATATTGCTACTTGAAAACTGTTTAGCTAGCTATAAGATGAGAATGCTACAAAAATCGCGACAAGGCGCCCCAGACGACATGAGAAGATACGTCAAGAGAACAGGAGATGCTCAAGTAGTAGTTGGGCGATACGTCTCTGATTGCGAATCATTAATTACGTGTTTGCAAGGGATCTGCATATTATACGTGGTAGAGCCATGCTGCAGCTATATTAGTAGTATAGTTGTAGCACGACTGGATCGGCTCGACCGGGGAAGGACCACGCTCTCACAGAATACCAGCGTAAACTAGCAGCTTAACACTGCTGTGTTTTGTGTGGTGAGTGAAGAGAACCGGAGACCCTTTTTACTAGAAAAGGGGCATTCCATTTTAGTCCTCACGGGTCACAACGCATCTGCATTTTGATTCGCAAATGAGGATAACTGTCGATGTCTATGGGCCACAGCAACCACTTACCATCAGGTGGACTCTGTGCTCGTTTGTCACCCTATCCTTTAAAAAATATCCAAATATTACCTGTTGTTGAGGCACATTACGATCATATGTCTGCCATTTCGAATAAAGGTACCACATTTACGTTCAAGGGTACTTTGTTCATACGCTATATAACCGATTACGGGTCTGATGAAATATGTTTCCATCATCATTCCATCATCTTCTTAACAAAAAAAAACACAAGATGTTGTTACTGGTTCACCAGAGTCACTGTTAAAATCTTCTTTGCCTAATCCGACCCTCCAGGACTCACTAGTTTCAAGAAATAAGGATCATCTTAGTTTGCGTTCGTTATCGCCAGCTTGGACTCTTATACCCAGAATACTTATAATATATTAAATTTCTACGAGGTGTGCTACGGGAGTGACGAAGAAAGTGATGACATTATTAATCTGCGACAACCCTGAATCTAGAAGGGATGAAAACGATGAGTAGAATCGTTTTGATTGAAGTTTTTCTGCAACTGATGATTCCATCTACAATATCCATCCAAGACAAGTTTTGATCTTGAATGGATATTGTATTGTATTGGATTGGAATGGGATTGTATTGGTATCGGAATCAACTTCGTATATTATCGTCCTCAAGTGACGAAAAAATCTTTTGAATTATCTACAGAAATGATGTCACTTATGTTGTCTATTTTTGTTTATTTTTTATTGTACCACTTTGATTAGTTAATATGTTTCCAGAATAATTACAAGACTGATAATATTAATTATTTGTTGTTAGAAGTTTGTGTTGATGTTATGTTATTAAGTTTAAGACTTTGAGCCCAAAAATGTTCATTCCTGTCGATTTCGTGGTCACTCCTGTCTATTGTTAAAAACGGAAAAAGCTATTTTTTTTTAAATTTCTTAGTATGTTTAACTATGTCATTATTTTTTACATGTTTCTTAAATACCAAAAAAAAATTATTTCATAAATAAACAAAACGTTGATTTTATTTTTATTTATTTTATTTCACTTCATGGTATAATGACCCAAAATGGTGCAAGAAATGATTACATTTCACCAATCCGATTTGACAAAAGTTGCATTGATGTAGTTAAAGATTTTTGACTGATTCATTAAAGTAAAAATTCATCGTTGTCTTCGTGCAGTACCAGCAGTAGTTCCAAGAGTTTATCAAGTTCTAGTAGTTTGTCGGACACCGAAAATGATAGTGCACATGTACAACTCAACCCTCAAAATGCTACGGTTGCTGAAATTAATGCCCAAGACCCTTAATAGAATAAAAAGGGGTAAATAGAGAGTACGAAAACTAACGATGTGGAAATCGAAAGTTGCAAAAGTGCCGAGAGATTCTGGTTAAGTCTACCAGTCTGCCGAAGTCGAATATATAAAAAGGACACGAATGCCAGAGAGAAAAGTTGAAGCCCCTGTGGAGAAAAATGTCGGCTAAAATGTAAACATAAGATTGATGAAATATTAAGACAAATACTTTTTGACGCATTTTTCGGACTCGCAAATCTTAAAAGAGTGACAAAGCAAATTTATGTTGCAGTAAGTGAACGGCAGGGTCGGGAAGGGACGCCCTTAGACGAAGGTTTATCGACCAAATCGGCGATACATTAAAAATGGGCCAGATTAGGAGTACCCTTAACCGACGAGCGGGTATGCGTAGATATATGGATGTAAAGGAGGCGAGAGAGGTGTGTCAGGATCGCGCCAAATGGAAGTCCGTAGTCTCTGCCTACCCCTCTGGGTGACGGGCGTGGGTGTTTGTGTTGTGTGTGTTGCAAATCTTAAAAGTGATAGAAACAGCACGAGACTAAACGGCATCTTAAAATTGAGCAGCGTTTGAATATTTGGGCATTAATGTCATGCCAATAGTACGGTGCCCAAAACTTTATTCTAACTCAAGAACAATTCTAGTGCTATAATTTGTTGACCTCAGAGTTTGACTAAGCATATTATTAAAACTGCTCTTGAGTTTTAACAGAGTCCTGAGTTTCGTTCTGTAATAATGGCCTTATTAATATCTATTAGAAAAATGTCATACAAATATGAGTCAAATGTGATTTTAGATGTTTTACATAGAATGGAAGGTTCTTATATATTTTATGTTGCGTTACTATTTCATAAGGTAATTTTATTTGAAGTATATAATTAAAGAACGTAAAAGGCTGTCATAATTTTTTATTTTTTTTAATGTAATATTATTTTATATTATACTGTTAAGTAAAAATATGTTTGTTTTGAGTACTTAATTTAATGTTTTCTTGTTAATTCATTAGCCAATGTACTCCTATTGTTGATCACAGACCCTTCTATTAGTTGGATTATTATAAATAAATTCAAAATGCTGTTACGTTTAAATTTACATTGATTCTTCAAAAGGGAGTCAACTAAAAACGAAGTTCACCAACACAGGTTCAACTCTAAATACCAAAAAAATATGCATACAATCGTTAAACAATACGGAAATAACTACAAAAATCCAATTTTCAGCCACAAATTATTTTAGTTTAAGATAGAAATCTTGTGTTTTAATTTTAATTTAAGATTAAAACACAGGATTTCTATAACATCTATCCTCTATCTGCATTTAAAAAGCATTGATCAATACAGATAACTCCTGCAGTGCACAGGCATACAGTAATCAGTTTTTCGCCTTTTCTGAAAAAAACTGTTTTTTTGAATTAACTCTGTTTAGATCTAGGTGTACTGTTTAGAGTAGGTGACAATCATCTTACTCCCCAGACAATGCAGAGGTAATAAAGCCACATACAATTTTTTTTAATAAAATAAAAAAAAATTTGTTCGAGTTTTAAAAAAAAAGTTATTTCTATAGCTTTGAATACTGATCCTGATAACGTACTTAACGGGAACCACAGGGTTTTTGTTACATGTTGTATAGATTTTTCGCCCCCGTGAACTTATTATTACAAATTTCATCGAAATCTTAGAGGTGTTTTCGAGATAGCGATTACAAACAAAAATATCTATATTGCTCTTATAATAGTATGAGATTATATTACCCCATCAGGTGGATCCTTTTCTCTGGGCGGGAATCTTCCATACATACGCTCACAAATTGCACACAAGCCACACCAGGTGCGATATTTTAGCGTATTCAAATCACTCTGAAAGAAATTAAAAAGCAATTAACTCGATTAGATCTTTTAGAATATTTTTAACCGACTTTAAAAAGGAGGAGGTTCTCAATTCGAGTGTATCTCCTTTTTTTGTGTATTACGCGATATGCTCACCAGGTTGTGAACCGATTTTAATGATTCTTTTTATTATTAAATAGGCTTTAGATCATTAGGCATTAAAATTTGAAGAAAAGCTTCTGCCCCGAGGGTGGAAAATAGGGGAAAGTTTCATATTGTACTATTATTTAAGGAATTTCAAATGACATCTTCGCAGACAGAACCGACTTTAATGATTATTTTTTTATTAAATAGGCTATACTTTAATGGTGGTTCCATCTAAATTTGGCGAAAAAATTCCACCGCTAAAGGTAGCAAATAAATTACTTCTTTTTTCGCAATTTGAAGTCGGTTTTACTTTTTGTTAAAAGTTATAATTAAAATAATAAATGAGATCAAACATTGTTAACTGTCCTTCATTGAGAAATATACAAGAATAATGTTAACATTAATCAATCATGCATATCCGACATGGGTAGACTGTTGAGACTAAAATTATATGTTTTTCTATTAAGATCATATTGTACACAGTTATGCAATAAATGTATCTTTATCTTTATCTTTAGTAGTAGGTACAGTTAGTAAAGTAGCTAAAGTATTTATTACATATACACACACATCTCCAGTATCACCGTCTTCTGAAGGAAAATGATCCTTATATCCTTTATCAAGTAGTGCCAATTTGATATCGTCGGTGACGTTATCCTCCTCTTTGTAGGAGTCCCATTCCATTAAGGCTTTGAATTGAGTCGCCTGTTCCATATTCAACGTTCCGCCCATCATTAGAATTAATCCCTCTTCAATATCCTGTAATCATACATGGTTGACAGATGACAGACATATTCTAAAGATTCAGCTATTAATTTCTCCAAACTAAAGAGGCCTAAACAGAAGAGATCCATTTCATCACTGAACTCTACTAACTGGTGGTATTTACCCAATCGAAGTGGTCACTGTGGCCTCGTTGTTATTTTTTTATAGGATTGGGCAACAAACGAGCACACAGTCCACCAGATGGTAAGAGGTTGATGTGACCCATAGACATCTACATTTATCCTCAATAAAGAATCAAAATGCAGATGCGTCGTCACCCATGAGGACTAAGATGGAATTCCTCTTTTCCAGTAAAATGGGTCTCCGGTTATCTACACTCACCATACGAAACACAGCAGTATCAAGCTGCCATTTTACGCTGGTATTCTGTGAGAGCGTGGTCCTTCCACGGTCAAGCCTACCCATTTTTCTGCTACAACTATACTACTAATATAGCTGCAGCATGGCTCTACCACGTATAACTTTAAATTATTACAGTAAAGTCAGAGAATTGTAATAAAAAAACACGCTGTAAAAGTAGTGGAGTTACAGTCGAAACACACCCATAGCCTGGCACGTTTAAACACCTCCAAACGTCTTTGAGAGGATTATAGAACGATTTACCCGCCGTGTTGCTGCGTTGCGTATTGGCGGATTTCACATCTCATTTAAAAATATTGTGTCGTTGCTCAATTTTCATCGAAATTTGAGTCGATGAACCGACCACAGATGAGGAAGAAAGGTTCTCGAGTGGCAGCCTCGTACCGGCAGGCGAAGTGTAGGGCGTCGCCCCACTAAATGAAGTGACGAACTGGTAACACATGCAGGGAGTCGATGGATGCAGGTGGCTTAGGACTGTACTCTGTGGCATTCCTCGGAGGAGTGGACTTGTGAAGTGCTGTATTGATAATGATTAAAAAATTTTTTGTATAACAAGAAAAACATCGTGGGGAAGGGGAGCATAGCCCTTCCCCACGATGTTTTCTTCATCACTCCAAGCACGTGATAAATCACAAGTTAAATTTGTAACTAACGCTTTTTTTAACGGCAGCCAAAGAGAATGTAATCACTATGTTTCCCATCGCGCCGGCGATGATTGAGCACAAGGTGTTCGCGGCCACCACTTATTACCCCACGGTTCTAAATATGCCGACTTACTACTAGCAACAATAAAAAGAAAATGTACCTTTACTGGCATTCTGTACCCTTTCAGTCTGAACTTCCTCAGGACTGTGAGATATAGAAGCTGTTTGGACTTCTTTATGGTAACGAATCTCGAAGCATACGTCATTGGAGACAAAGCTATTAAAAAGTTAAAAATATTAGTTTATTTTTATGGTGAAAACTTATTTAGGCGCGTTGGACGATTTTAGTATTTATGTAGTATGGGTAAAATATTATGAGTTCGCATCACCGATGTGCTAATGTTAATACGCACAACACGTTATACTTAAAGCTACAGTAGCGTATATATTTAGATACTATACTCTTTGACGCTGGACTAGTCACACTGCACGCAACATTCCATTACTGCGAAAGAGCTAGTGCATTTACAAGGCCAAGAAGTCGTGAACTAGTAGATGATTCGTTATATGAAAAATCTCATTAACCACCAGCGGCAGGTTAGTGAGCCTAGAACTTGCTGCCGCTCGGTTGTCAGAGTCGCGGCTATTATATATTCTGTGGTCGCGGTCGCTATTTAGCAAGGTGTATCACAAGCAAGTGAAATTTGCATTTGGAGAGCTCTCCCTTCGATTGAAAATCTTATAGGAAATAATGAATATCAGAGTTTATTACGCTAAGACAGTGCGCCCTTTCCACCTATAGCTACAGCACTACTTACCATCAGCACGGCCAGCAGGAGCTGGGGCCAAAAAATGTATCCCCCGATTATAGCCACTGACAAGAGATAAAATTATCTTATCCTTATGCCAAAGGACGGCAACGGGTGAAAGGAGAAGTATATCCCCGTTTAACATAACGAGTAGACATATATCCCCCGTCCGTAGCATGGGGCCAAATGAAAGAGAAAAAAATTTATGCTTTCTTGACATTTGAAAGGGACAATTTTATTCTAGTACTATGGACTTGGGTTTAAGTTGTATTTCGGAATTTTCTTATAATAGCAATAATTGTGGGGATAAGTTCAAATTTTGTAAATATCGATTCATACAAAAGGTACGTGAAAATGCATACGTTACGGATGCACAGACGGGACGGGTCTATCTCCTATTTTATCTACTGTGAATAATTATATCCACCAGTGTGCCCATGCTCGAAGGGTGGATAAAATTAAGCTAGGTGATAAACATTTTGTTCTTTCCCCGGGGATAAAATGTCTCCTTCTCATGCTAGCCCTGCAGGTGGGATCGTAGTTAACACTGGCCTATAATATGAAAAAAAAGTATTTATTATAAAACTGTACTCACTTAACTTGATTGATTACATTTCGTGTCTCAGTAAGGTGATGGCGTAAAATAATCTATCACCACTTCCTCCAGCCATTGCGTTCCTTGGTTGTCATAAGAGGCGACTATGATATGATAGCGAGTATAAGATATGACAAAAAAAGTCTTGCGGCCTCCTATAGATGTTATGTTACCTACCTCGTTACGTTAGATGTAAAATAGCCACTCTTTTATAGTTTCAGTTTTCAGCATCGCTTCCCGTTGCCAGCACTGCAAACTATAATTCGCCTACTAGTGTGACGATTAAGGCAAATATTCCCGTTTATTTTCTATGATGTTAGTGCTGTTATGTTATCCTTTTGGATGTTACTGCTTTATCACTCAGGGCTCTTTACAGCGGGAAAGGTATAATAGGTTTTTTTTTTATAGAATAAGGGAGACAAACGAGCACATAGTCCAACTGATGGTGAGTGGATGCTGTGGCTTATAGAATTAAAGTGTAGATGCATTGACACTCCTGAGGACTAAGATGAAATGTCTCGTTTCTAGTAAAAAGGGTCTCCGGTACTCTACACTTATACAAAACACAGCAGCATTAAGTTGCTATTTCACACTCGTATTCTGTAAGAGCGTGGTTCTTCATGCGACAAGTGTACTATAGCTGCAGCATAGCTCTACCACGTTAATAAAGACTGTAATGATAATGGAAAGGACATGGTGATTGTGGTTCAGTTATTGAGTTGTTCTGTCAAGATATTCTCAATAGCAGTCCGGAGTCAGGAATTGGGCGTTTTGGATCTCCGTGCCTCGGGAGCACGTAAAGCCGTCAGTCCTTCGCTTGGCCTCTCTCCGGTCGTGTCGGTTTGCCGTCCCATCGGACTATGAGAATGAGGGAATAGAGAGTGCACAATAGCTTGCGCATACACTCGGGCACTATAATCCTGACCTGCGCAGATGGCTAGTCTCCGTTGAAACTGGCCGCCGCGGAGGAGATTATTAGAAGGATATGGTGTCTCACTCTCGAGTTGTGCGGAATCGATGGGCAGTGAGAAGCAGGCGGTCTGGCGGGTGAAGACGCGCGGCACGTGCAGCCAGTCGGCCAGGCCGCCGCCGCCCGCCGGCTGCAGCGCGCGCATCACGCTGCGCAGCTCGGGCCCGGCCGCCCGAGCACCGCGGGTGCGCAGTGCTTCTTGTAGCACGTAACGGCGCTGCCAATGGTGTTTAATAATTGGATTATAAAAAAAAACTATACATTAATCCGTGTAGGATATACTCTGTCTAACTTATTAAGCATATTGCGCGCACGCAGGCGTGTAAGATTTAACATTGTTACAGTTTACAAGTACAGAAAGCTGAAATTTATATAAGTATAACTAACGATCCGCCAAGGCTTAGTACGGGTGATTTCTGGATTACAACTACAGCGCCACCCACCGGGTTCAATTGTGAATCTAAACCACGCAACTACATATTGATTCTTAATCGAAGATTAATGTAGTCGTCTATGGGCACAGTATCCACTTACAATCAGGTGGACTGCGTATTCGTTTGTCACCTTTATATATTCAGTAGAGAACTTTTGATAGGCTGTATTATTTTGTGGAGTGTGTTTGTGTATGAGAACCTAGCAAGTTAATATCTTATAAGTAAAATCTATTACCTTGGTATCAAACTCTGTTTCAATAGCTTCCTCATCGACTTCTCTATGTAAATATTTCAAAATATCATCATCTATGAAGGAATCAGTATTGGAGGCGGCAACTGGCTTTATTATCGGCGGTAGTGGTGCTTCTTCCGCTACAGCTATAGATCCACGCGAACTGGCATTGTGAGAGTCTGTGCCAATGCCTGCGATCTTAATAAAAAATAAAAAATAGCGTAAATATCAATACCGATGGGGATGTTAATAAGCTTGCAGAAATAATCATTAATTACCTATGATCTATGTTATCATTTTTGAAACAGTTCTTTCATCATCATCATCGCAGCTTATCAAAAGTTCACTTGCATTTGCTACGTTTAGCAGGTAGGTTGGTAACCACCAAAGACGTTTATGTAGGTATATATACTACTAGATAGGTTCTGAGGCCTTAATACATTGCACACTAAGTTACGGTCAATTTTCTGTATCTCCTTTAGTGGATTTTAAGCGGGCTAGAAGACCGCGAACTTTGTTTTCGACAATCTAACACTCATTTTGTTAATGTGACACTGATTTTGTTTAAGAAAACGCTGCGATTATTTAAATGTGTGCACACTCTGTTAACGTGATCAGAACTTTATTTCAGATAAGTTTGTAACTTTATTTTGTATTTGCCTAAAAAAGTAACTGTCGTAAATAAAAATACAACTGCGTAGGGTATATTTAACGTACCAGCTACCCGCCCAGCCGGCGCCCGTACAATCCACAGCTGTGACACAATTTTTGTTATGAATTGCCAGTCGAGTGACACATGTCAGTCTTTGGTAACCACAGTATTTTATCATCTTATAGTTGTTATTAAGAATATACTGCAGTTCATCTTTTGTTTCAGTTACCCTTTGTCGCCTCTTACGACACCCACGGGTAGAGTTGGGGTAGTGAATTCTCTAACATCTGGGCTAAAATTTACTTGAGTTTCCGGATCTTGTTGTGCCTGTGCGGCGAGGCCAGCCGAAGTTAATCGATCGCTGCCACCACCACGAACTTTACGACGCCGTTTACCTCTTCGTCGAATTTCTCCGCCTTCTATATATTATATCGAAAACAAAATTATCTAACTTTAAAAAAATATAGCAAGTTAATCATAATAAGTGTAGTATAATAATTATTTAATTAACTGGTGATTTGGGTTTAAGCTAAATATTGAAATTTATGAAATTTCTAAATACAGCTAAGATGAAATAATAAAGAATAAATTCGAGAATAGAATTTCCAATTAAAGTGCAAAGTCGAGACAAAAGACCGCAGTTGATGCTAAGTATAGTAAAACTGGCTTCATTGGTAAACTTGAGGTTTATGAGTGTAAAGGTTACAGCTTACTTACAGGTTGGACTGTGAGTGTCGTTATCATGTTATTAGTAGGTACTTTTACCGACCAGACAAGTGTAATGATTGGTAATGATGGAGATACAATACAATCAATTCCACAGAGTACTTTATGTTTCAATTCCACAGAGTACTTTATGTTTCAATTCCACAGAGTACTTTATGTTTCAATTCATACTGATGAAGATAAAGAGTCGACGATATTATGACACACAACACACTATAATAGTGTACCTATATGTCATAGCACTAGATTCACTTATAACGCAATGTATGTATGTATTCTCATTTAAGACCGAGTAACTTAACAGATATCTGTTTAATCAGAAGACTTTTATGGTACGTTTAGATTATCTGACGAACACCTTGCCAAATAAATTAAGTTTGCCGTGGATGAGTGCGACGCATTTTCATATTCGTCTGTATACAATATTCATTCAACGTACATTTTTGAACATGGATGAGGACATTGTGTCTACTTAACTTTTATAGATTCATTGGTATTTTAAATGAAAAAAGAAGAAAGACTGCAGTAGTAGAAATAAATTAGTATTAAGTAGAATATATCTATATATAAAAATAGTTTCGCTCTTGTGAAATTTTTAATTTCAGCTGAACCGAGTAGTATATTTATAAATATTTTCTCAAAAAAAAGATATTAGAGAAAATTATAACGGTAGATTGGCCGAGTAAATTATAATGATAGTTCGCGGGTCAACTGAATATGACGAGTATGTGTGTATGTATACACCGATACGAATACACACATACAATTCTTGATTTGTGCTAAAAACAGCCTTTAGTCGTGATTCGAATTCGGCCATTTTCATAGTAATATATAATAGCATTTAAATTACAAATTTTATGCCATTTCAGGCGCATTTTTCTGCCGACTTTAAAAAGGAGGAGGTACTCAATTCGACTGTAAGTTTTTTTATGTGTGTTACCTCAAAACTTTTTCTGGGTGAACCGATTTCGATGATTCTTTATTTATTTGAAAGCTGAATTTCTCATGTAGTCCTATGTAAATTTGATCAAGGTCTGACCAATAATATTTGAGTTATCCTTAACAACTTATATTGAAGTCGGCTGTACAAGATTTTAAATCTTAAATTATTATTTTACTGGTAAGAACAATGTGAAAGTTAATGAAACAACATAGGTTAAGTTTAACAACATAGATTACATGATCGTACTCGTGCCTATTTATCTGTGCTCGGCGAGTACCTAAACGTTCTATTACAATATTTTAAAATTTATAATTTTGTACAACTCAGAATCATCGCAATCAGTTCACCGAGAAAAAAGTTATGAGATAACACACATTAAAAAAAACATACAGTCGTATTGAGTACCTCCTCCTTTTTGAAGTCGGTAAAAAATAATCATTTATCAGTGCTTAGAAGACTACAATACATTGGACAATATAAATGACAAGATAGAGGAAACTGTCCATGCGGTCTGAGCTAAGTTTTGCAATACCCGTCGTAGAAGAACCCAAAAACTCTCTGATAAGTGATAAGACTTCTGATCTAAAATAGTTCTTAGAGAGAAAAATACTGCAACTCTTTTTTATAAAATTGCATGTGTGTACAAAAGTGAAGAACAAACAAACTTACAATCCACCTGATTGTAATTGGCAACTGCAACCCGTGGACACCGCAACCAACTTCAAATAAAGAAGTCGTTTTTAGGTGTCGCTGTGCGCGCGCTACGTAAAAATTCACTCTCATCGTTTTTCTCAAACGCCCCAAAAGAAGTATAACTTCAATAAAGTAATTTTATTTATACAGTACATTTTACTGCGACCCTTTCAGTTCCAGGAGGAACCTATCGTTCGCAGCAGAATTCGAGAAGTAAATAAATTCTACTCCAGAACCGTAGAATGCTCACCAATATCATCTGCATTTTCTTGATCGGCTAAATTTGTATCATTGCTGTCCTTATCACCCTTCGAACGCTGAGAAGTCGGTGCATCGCTTTTGTTTTTACCTTTAACCGTCTTGCTTAAATTTAAAGCTTTTAGTTGGTTCTGAAAAAAATTTAACATTATTATTTGTTGTCTCTTATTTTGTGTATCGTTGTAGCCGTCGTATTTTGCCATTGAGTTATATGTACTACGGACTAGAGAAGCCATTCTAAACAAAAAATATGCACTACTCTGTCTTCGCATATGCGCGGGAGATAGTAGAGTCGCGCATGTGCAGTTAATTTAAGCGCGTTTCGCCTGCACGGTCAGTTTTTGATATAAACTTTAATTTGAAATCTTGTATTATTAGCGCCGCTCCATACTGCATGTATATTGAAACCACAGACTAACTAGTAGATTGAAACCACACTAAATGACACACTGTACGAATTGCAGTACAGTTTAGTTGAACATAGTGTATGTTCGGAATGCATAATCTAGTATGTAGTACATATATATATATATATATATATCGATATATTTTGCAATGCGCGTAAGGAGAGTAGAGTAAAAACCACAGATGGTGGATGTGTTAATATTCTACGGATTGATAGAGCAACTCAGTTGGATTTAATAAATGGTCTTGATTTTGTTAGAACTAATATTCTCTGTTCTATAGCATATTTATTTATTTATTTATTGCACAATACAACAGATTATCATGACTTAAAGCTATAACTTACAATAATAATAGTGTAATACAAGACATAATATATATTAACTGTTCTACAGTTGAAATTAGGCGCAGGAAAACTTTGAGGAGTTCCAAAACAGTTCGATGAGAAAGAAACATAAAATATATGAGATATGAGTAAAAATATTTTTAGCGGATATGCCCATAAGAAAATAAAAAAAGTGGAGTCGGAATATTGACTTCAAATATTTGAGGGTTGACAAGGTTGAGGTTAAGACAAAATGTTTAAGAGCAAGGAGAATATATACCTAAAGAGAACATTTTAAGCTGGGTACATAATAATTATACAAACTAACGAGTTGTTCAAGGTTTCTGTTACCTCTAGGTTACAAAAGAACTCTTCTTTCTCAAAAGTAACACCTAATTGCTTATTAATCACTTTCCTTTTTATCTGCATTTTCGGAAGTTTAATTTTCTTGTTCTGATTTGTTGCAGGCATAGCTACGGTTGAAGCGATTCTTTTTCTTTTACTTGATCCGTAATCTATTACTATTCTTGACAAATGCATCGAATTACAGTCGCAATGTGAATGTCGTACTCCTGGCGACAGATTTGATAATGGTTCATGTTTAGCACCTTTGTTTTTGATTGTAGTACTATTTTCTTTAGCCAAAGTTTTGAATTCTTTTATCTTCTTCTCTTTTGGTTTCTCCCTTTTAATTTGCAATAGTTTTGTTTTTGAAATTAGAAACGGTAACATCCTCACTTATTTTTTAGTAATAACGATATATAGATCCTTCATTAATATTTTTATTATTAAATACTTTCTCGGTACATAATGGGGTTAGGAGCTTTAAGGCACACGTTGTTTTAGTGAAACTGATAGAGCGAAATGTGAAAGTTATTTATCGCTTTACGTCAGTTAAGCTATTGATTTTTTTATCACTTATAAAATAATTAGATATGTTACACACTTCAGCGGTTGTTATTGATACCATCATATTAAGTAACTAGCTTATACCCGCAGCTTCGTCCATGTCATCATCATTCATCATCATTACAGCCTTTCATAAGTCCACTGCTGAACATAGGCCTCCCCCAAGGAATGCCACAAAGCACGGTTGTGCATCCATCGACTTCCTGCATGCCTTACCAGATCGTCACTCCATCTCGTGGGGGCTCGCCCTACACTTCGCCTACCGGTACGAGGCTGCCACTCGAGAACCTTTCTTCCCCATCGGTTGTCGGTTCTTCGAGCTATATGGCCGGCCCACTGCCACTTCAGCTTACTAATCCGTTGGGCTATGTCGGTTACTCTAGTTCTACTGCGGATATCCTCATTTCTAAGTTTATCACGCAGAGAAACTCCGAGCATAGCCCTCTCCATAGCTCGCTGAGTGACCTTGAGCTTCCTCATACGGCCAGATGTGAAGGACCACGTCTCAGTTCCGTAAGTCATCACTGGCAACACGCACTGGTTGTACAACTTCGTTTTAAGGTTTTGAGGTATGTCTGACGAGAAAATGTGTCGTAGCTTCCCGTAGAGATGTCCGTGTAGATCACAAAAAATGAACATGCAGATCTATGCCTTGGGAAAGTAGTTCAATAGAAATGTTTCATGATGGCGTAGAAGACACAGACAAAAATTACAAGAATGGTTATTGATGTCTTATAAGTAGAAGTATAAGATTTATAGATAAAGTTGGGGACAATAATTATTTTACCTAAAATAATGAATTGATATAAACAAATGTAAAAATTTTTTTTGAGATGCGACCATTCACAGCGGCTCTCAGATTTTGTAGATATATGCCCAAATAATCAAACGCTACTCAATTTTAAGACGCCGTTAAGTCTCGTGCTGTCTCTGTCACTTTAAGTCAAAGTGACTGTGACACCACGATACTTTTGAGTATCTGACCAATTACTGCTCATTTTCAGGTCCGTCTGGGTTTGGTACCACCCTAACACAACATCATTTAATGTTGTGTTCCAATTTGAAGTGTTAGAAAACTATATTTACAGGCTATAATGCATTTCAATTTAGTCATAAGAGGTGACAATGACAACGCATCTACGGTTTGTTTTCTTAATTTGAAATGGGCGCCAAGAATCCACGAACAGTAGTAGGTTCTTACCGTTATGTGGACAGTTAGCTCGTTTGTCAACCAAATAAAAAAATCATCTGATATAATGAGCTATTACTACTGTAGCAGTAAACGCGGAGAAGCATACGGACTTGATTATTGCATTTAAGAATTTCTCTGGTGCTGGTGTTAATGGAACTTGGTTTGCTCGTACACTATAAAATTTAAAGACTAGAGCTTATCTCCTGAGCCCTGAGCTATTAATAATTGATAAGCTAACCTAAAACTAGAACTTTAACACTTTCACTGTCCGGTTTTCAGACACAATGGCTAAACAATAGCAATGACCTAATATGTAGTGCACGGGACAGCCTGGCTTGACTGAAATTTGACTTGAAAACAAAAAGAACAACATACCTTTCTAGCTGTCCTTACACTTTGCGGTTCTCTTGCAGGCGAGTTTCTTTTTGCCAATACCACTGGCGAAGCTAATGGGGGCAACTGCTCGCATTGGCCTGTCTTAAGCCTATGATGGCCGCTTTCAGACAAGTTCAAGGACGGTAGAGTCGATCGCTCGATGGTGGCGCTGTAGCCAGTTGTCATTTCTGATGTGCCATGGCCGTGGTAGTAGTACAATGTTTCCTTTAAGTTGAGATTTATAATTCTTTAAACATTTTTGCAAGCATAGCTTCGACAAGGAGACACCAAGATAAATTATAAGTCGATGGATGCATGTGGCATAGGATCAGAGAGCAGACCTCGAGAGACCAAGCTCAGTCTTCAGTCACAGTAAGTACCTAATACTTATTTACTGAGTATAACTTTAGATGTGAACTAGTAACGAGCTGAAATGATAATGATTGATAATGATCCAAGTATGAAACTTAGAAGGAAATGAATCGAGCGGAACTGGGGGGGGGGGGGCACAATTAACTATGAGATAGCTAGATGTAGCCCCCTGTTTCACTCGACTCCTAAGGAACATTTTTTTTTATAGGAAAGGGGGCAAACGAGCATGCGGCTCACCTGATAGTAAGTGACTACAGCCGCCCATGAACAACTGCAACACCAGGGAGGGAATTGCAGATGCGTTGCCGGCCTTTTAAAAAGGAGTACGCTCTTTACATGAAGGTCCCTAAATCGTATCGGTCCGGAAAAATCGCTGATGGTAATCGATTCCACAAGGAAGTCGTGCGAGGAAGAAAACATCTTCTAAATCGCACAGTGGTGGAGCGCCAATCATCCAGATGGTGTGGATGATATCGGGAGTTCTGCCGCGATGTGCGTTCGTGAAATTTGGCGGCTGGGATTAATCCGAACAATTCCTCAGAGCACTCCCCATGGTAGATGCGAAAGAAAATGCAAAGGGATGCAACATCTCTTCGCAGTGCCAATGAATCGAGCCGATCGGAAAGGGCTCGGTCGTCAACGATTCGAGCCGCTCTGCGCTGGATGCGGTCAAGTAGAAGGAGCTGGCACTGGGGAGCCCCTGCCCAGAGATGGGAACAGTATTCCATGTGAGGCCGAACCTGCGCCTTGTAAAGTTGCAGGCGGTGTGCCGGCATGAAATACTGTCCTGCTCTGCTGAGCACGCCAAGCTTTTTAGAGGCCAATTTGGCCTTCTCTTCCAAGTGACCACGAAACTGCACGCCACTCGATATGTCGACTCCGAGGATACCGATATTGGCTGAGGCAAGAAGGGGAGTGCCTTGAAACTGAGGAGATACGACAAAGGGGTTCTTTTTAGCGGTAAACGCGCAAACTTGTGTCTTCTGAAGATTAAACTGGACTAGATTTAGTCGCCCCCAATCCGAGACTTTGTTCAGCAAAGACTCGACTTCAGACACAAGTTTGTTCCGGTACTCGGCGATGTTTTCCCGAGAAATATTGGCACGGCCGGTGTATAGAGCATCACCAGTGCTGTCATCCGCATAGCAATGAATGTTACCAGTTAGCAACATATCATTGATATGCAGAAGAAACAGCGTTCGTGATGGCACACAGCCTTGTGGAACACCAGCGTTAATAGGCTTGTAGTCGGAGCATGCACCGTCTACAACGACCTTGATGCTCCGATCTGCAATGAAGCTGGTGATCCAATTGCACAATTTCTCGGGAAGCCCATAGGAAGGGAGCTTCGAAAGAAGCACTTTGTGCCAAACCCGCTCGAAGACCTTCGCAATGTCCAAACTAATGGCCAACGCCTCCCCCTTGGACTCTACTACCTCCGCCCATCTATGGGTCAGGTAGGCCAGAAGATCACCAGCTGATCGACCCCGACGAAAACCGTATTGGCGGTCACTAATCAGCTGAGGATCCTCAAGGTACCGGATGAGCTGGCAGTTAGTAATGGATTCCATTATTTTGGAGAACAAGGAGGTGATCGCGATAGGCCTATAGTTGGACGGGTCTGAGCGGTCGCCTTTTTTAGGGATCGGGTGGACAAAAAATTTGGGACTACGCCTTGGTAGTAGGAGTACCGGAAAAGACGCGTTAGGACCGGTGCCAACTCCGGAGCACACGTCCTCAGCACAATTGGGGGGATTCCGTCAGGCCCACTCGACTTCTGGATGTCCAGAGAGAGAAGTGTTTTGCGAACCGAGCGCTGTGAGAACAGCACATCCGGCATGGAGTACTCACACCGCGGGATGGTCGGCGGTGTTTTCCCCCCGTCATCAAGAGTCGAGTTGGACGCAAAAAGGGAGCCTAAAAGGTCGGCTTTGTCTTTTGCGTCTTGGGCCAGTGAGTCGTCCTCCCTGTGCAGAGATGGTAGTGATGCCTTGGCAATAACTCTTTTGAAGGACCTGGAGGCGAAATTTTACTTCTTTTTAAGGGTGCTGGTGTTTACACCCCGAGTCGCCGAAGCCGCAGCCCAGGCTTGATAACGCTCCTGCTTACTGCGTAATGCAGTCTTACAGGAGCGACCAAACCAAGGCTGAGATCTGCCTCCGATGGGTACCACAGATGATGGAATAAATAGTTCCATTCCCTGTAGCACCACATCAGTGACAGAGTCAGCAACAGCGCTGGGATCATTCGGCGAGAAGCAAACCCGCCCCCATGGGTAGGATGCAAAGAAAGACCGCATTCCGTCCCAATCCACCGACCTGTAATGCCAAACACGGCGGCAACCTGCAGAACGCAACCGCGAAGGGAGCGTGAGTGGCACCATACCCCGGATCAGACAATGGTCCGAAGAGCCGAGAGGGGCGTCGACGGAAACCTGATATCCGTCCGGATGAGAGGTCAGCAGAAGGTCCAACAAGGAAGGTGTATGATCATCCACATCTGGAATCCACGTAGGCGAAGTAACCAGTTGTTTCAGACCATATGCCAAGGCAAAGTCATAAACAGATCTCCCCGCATGATCGGTTAAACGTGAACCGAGCATTCGGCATGGTGGGCGTTAAAATCGCCAAGGATCACGATCTCTGTAGATGGGACCTGTTGTAGCAAGGAATCTGTAGCCATTTGGACGTGGTCGATGAGTCGGTCTGTTTCGGCATTACCGCTATGGGACCTATAGAGGCACCCGTAGACGAGCCGATGGTTGTCGCTGTCTACGCGTAGCCAAAGGATGGACAGGTCCGAACCCTCAAGACTGCCGAGGCGTCGAGAACACATGTCCTCTCTGATATACACGCAAACTCCAGCTCGAGGCACAAAGGAGTGCTCAAATTTGTACCCCGGGTAGAAGAGATACGAAATATCAGCCGGAAAGGAAACCTGCGTCTCGGTCAGAAAGAGCAAGATCGGCTTCGCCGTCGCAGTTATGTTTTTGAGCGGAATTTTGCCCCCCCGCCCCCAGAATACGCGGGGCAGCCCGAGAACCCACGCTCAGGATTGGAATAACATGGTCGTGGATGCTCAGCGAGGGATTCTCCAGGGGTACTGGTACCCTCCTGGGGTAGTATATCGTGTAATTCCGCTACCCTGTTGATGGGGAGGGGGGGGGGGGATTGGGCCTCCGGCCACCTGCACTCACCAGACGAAACGCAGAAGCAGAGCTTCTACTTCACGCCGGTATTCTGTGAGGTCTTGGTACCAACCCGGCTCGAGCAGGCCCATACGTGCAACAGAAAAAACTGCTGCGTGTCTGTACCACCGTTACATTCTACCGGAGATTGAACGTACAGTCACGAACTGAGTCATCAAAATCATCATCATTGTACGTGGTAGTGCCATGCTGCAGCTATATTACTGGTATAGTTGTAGCACGAATGGGTCGGCTCGACCGGGGAAGGACCACGCTCTCACAGAATACCAGCGTAAAATAGCAGCTTAATGCTGCTGTGTTTCGTATGGTGAGTGAAGAGAACCGGAGACCCTTTATACTGGAAAAGAGGCATTCCATCTTAGTCCTCACGGGTGACAACGAATCTGCATTTTGATTCGTAATCGAGGATAGATGCAGATGTCTATGGGCCACAGCAACCACTTACCATCAGGTGGACTGTGTGCTCGTTTGTCACCCTAATCCTATAAAAAAAATAATCATTAGTCCCCCTTTTTATTTAGCTCGCGGTTTTTACAAATCGCGAGCCCTGAGTCTGATGAAGCTGTAAAAGCCAAATGGCTAACAGCACAAAAAACAACAACACTACACATTACAAAAAATAGTAGTTAGTGGTGGTGGTGGAAAAATACCTAGCTGAGTTTGAACCTGAGCTTATAATTTCTGAAAATTAACACGTTCATGCGAACAACGTATATGTACGTCACATATTTGTAGATATGATATGGCACAACGTATTATTACGTTCAGCAATAACACGATTTATTGAGCACAACGTTATGGTACGGTGTCTGGCCATACTAATGTTTTAAAGTTGGGTTACTGTGCCACAACATATCGAATTCTCAAAATTGTAGTGCCACATCGCACCGATTTTTTTGGCTTCTTAGATGGCATTCCTCCCTGATACTAAGTACCCACTTTGTTAGCGCACAACGTCACTATACGTCGTTTCGCAAAAGAAGTTTCATTACATCAGTAGATTTGTGCGCGTCGCGGGGCTAGTGCGTGCGCCAATTTTATGTTCACATGGAATATTGACGCTAAACGTTGTCTTACTACGATATATATATTATATAAATATATTTTACTTTATTGTAATAAGTCTGAATATGTTCAAATTACATATTTTGAATTTTTTTGTTTGTTTTAGATATATAAAATGAGCCAAAAAAAAGGAATCTTCAATGAAAATCTATGAGCTTTCTTCATCCCGGGAAACCACGCCAGTCCCTTTTGTTAACGATGGAGAGTTTGGATCAGATGCCGATTACGGCCCAATTGGTGATAATGATGACGACAGCTCCTGTGACATTGGCATTTCGCAGTTTGAGCGGGGCAAACAGCGCAAAAAATCATTATTGCATGTCAAAAAGAGTACTTGTTCCAATTTACGATCTGCTTCTGATGTTAGATCTACATCGGATTCCGCATCAGAAAATTCTTATAGCACCACAGACGATTCAGAGTATTCTAGTTATGAAAGCATTTTTGACTCTCATAAACGAAAATGTAGTGACGTCTTAGGACGTCAGCGCAATATATTTCAATACTAATATTATCAGTTATTGCACAGCGTCATTAGACGTCGCTTTAGTTTGTATGAAAAAATTATGTGCAATATCAC